AACTTGTTGATGGCCATCGGGTAGTCGAAGCATCTCCAACTGCAAACCTCGAGCCACTGCATCTGGTAGAAAACCCGCCGAAGGTCAGCGCCTGCGCCGTGTTTCCCGGAGTCGCCCTCGCGCTGGAGGTCGGCGTCAAGGCAGAGGTCGCCGCGCGCGGCGGCCGAGCCATGCTCGGTCTGAGGGGGGCGCCAGTGCATGGCCGAGGGCCCCCTGCCGTCGATGACCATGAGCAGGGCGCCGTCCTTCTCACCGACAGAGAAGATACCGGCGCGGGCGCGGCATCGGGCGCGCTCGCGCCCACGCGCCCGATGCGCATGAGCTGCTTGCATAGGTTGAGCCGCAGGGTCGGGTCGCGCGTCCCAGAAGGGGCGCGCCGACGGCAGCTCGCCCGCCTCGACCATGCCGCCCAGCGCCGCCTGCGAGCGGTAGATGAACTTCTCGGGGCGGTCGATCAGCGGCAGCGGCGATGCAGGCGCAGGCGAGCGGACGGGCTGCGATCGGATGCCGCCGTCGAGAACTTCGAGAAGGTGGGGCTCGTAGGGCCGAACAGGCGACGGGCGAGCACTGTAGATATCTTTCGACTTCAAGATAAAGCGAAGCGCGTCATCGCCGCCCAGGCCGAGGGGCTCGCCGAACGCCGGCACTCGCTGATGAACACGCTGGAACACAGATGCTTGGGCGGCGTTCGCCGGGAGAACCGAGGCGAGGCCTCGCGCGGCCGCCAGCGGAACGTCCAGGTCGTTCAGAGCCATGATGGCCTGGTTGCACCGCCGACGCACGCCGCGCGAGAGCGAAGGGGCCGTGCTCGTCGGCGACGACCTGCGGAGCAGCGGCAGGGGAAGGGGGTCGCCGTGAGCGCGACCTGTCAAAAATCGAGGAACCCCTGCGGCATTTTGGCCTCTCGCGCGCCCCCCTTTGAAGCGGACTGCGGATGAGCCACGGGCCGAGCGACGCCAGGGTGCCCGCCGCCCTCCCGCAGCCCGGCTGGCAGGAACCATTGGGCGTCGGCGGCCCGCCGGGGGTCGCCGCGACCGCCGCGCCCGCGCCCGTCGCCCCGGCCGCGCCCGCGGCCCCTGCCCCGACCGAAGCCAGAGTCTCAGTCTCCACCGCTGCCGTCACCGTCGCCGGAGGAGGCGGCCGCCGGGGCCGCGGCCTTGGGCGCGGGTGGTCTGCTCCTCGCGCCGCTGCCGCTGCTGCTTCGGGGCGAAAGCCCCCTCCTTCTGGATCTGCGCGATGTACTTGGCGTACTCGGGGAGGACGAGGCCGTCAAACACTCGTTGACGGCAGGGGCGACCACGGCGTCGAGGTCCTGGAATTCAGGGCCCCGAGGACTGCGAGCGACTGCCATCTCAATCTGCACTAGGTAGCGCGCCAAAATCTCGACACCGACGAGGCTGGGCAGGTTCACCATGTCCTGCTGCTGGAAGGCCTGGAGGGCCTCGGTGAGCCGCCGATGTGAGCGAGTGATGTTGCTGTTGGGCGAGATGCCCGACTTGTGAACGAAGTCGAGGTGGTGGCTGACCCACTCCATCCCCGAGGCGCGCAAGGTTCGCATGAACTCGAGGATGACTCGCTGGCCGCCGAGGGGGAAAGGTGGGTCGACTGAGACGCGCTGCAACCCGAAGGACTCGGAGAAAAACCTGAAACGCTCCTTGGTGACGTGGTCCCGGAGATCGCCAGCGACCCGCGGGTCGCGCTTGTGACCTGACACCAGAGCGCGCTCCCAGGAGTCCTTGGTCTGGGCGGGCACGAGCTGGCAAAAAGTCCAGCAGTCGTCGATCAGCACGAGCGCCCAGAGGTACTCCTCGTCGCTGGCCTGGCCGGGCTGGAGGAAGGAGTTCGCGTCTGAGACGATGTTGGCCGGAACCTCGTCTCCGAAGCTGCGAGTGGACGGGTCGGCGACTCGCCACGCACCGTCTGGGCCAACTGCCGCGGCGGCCGCTGGGGCTGCCTGGCCCAGCACGAGGGCCAGCTCACGAGCCTGCTGGCGGACCCGCGCGAGGTCGGCGTCGGGGACGGGATTGTCGAGACGTAACTGTCATTCCATTGAGCCGTTGGAAAAGGGCCGTCCCGTGCGAGCGCAACCACGCGGTGTGCGTTATGATCGAAGCGATGGACGGAGTAGTCTGGCGTGCATCCGATCCAGCTTCAGGCGTGGGCGTCTGCACGATGAGCGGGCGGTGGTGGAAGCGCAACCCTGCTGCGTCGTCTGGGAAGTCGATGAGCACCTGTGCCTCGGGGAGGTCGAGAGTGCGACGTGCCGCCATGGCCTTCTCAAGACTGCAAGGCGAGCTCGCTGGGCGTCGCGGGCCCGGCGGAAGAGCTCGAGGGCCGCCCAGCCGCAGGCGCCTCGTGCGCGCAGGTGGTCACAGCCGCCGGCGCGCTCCAGCGCCCCGCGTCCCAGGCCGGCGCGCCCCCGCCCGCAGCCGCGAGCCACGCCGTGAGCCAGCCAGGCTGCACGTCAGAGCGCAGGTCTGGACAGGGCAGGGCGGGTTGGCGGGACAGGGGTGCCCCCGTAGCAACCAGAGCTCCGCGAGCCACCCAGCTGCTGCGAGCACGTCCACGGGCGCTGCCATGCGGCCGCGGCTCTTGCCAAAAACTTGACCACAAATGCGATCGCGGTCGTGCTTAAGACAAGGCGCGAGGCACAATGAACATCATATATATATATATATGTATGTATGTATATATATATATATATATCCAACGCTACGACCCCCCCCCAAAAAAAAAATGCGCTCGCGCCCCTGGTTCTTCCTATGGGCAATAAGAATAAGCGCAAGATTATGTCTAACGGGCCTCTCGCGCCGCATGGCCTAATCATTCGAATGCCCTTGCGCGCGTGGTGGGGGGTCTGGGGCGCGACCCATGTCAAATAATGCCACGCGGGCCTCTGTCGCGCGCCGGCCGCGCGCGCGCCGAACGTTTTTTCACGCTTTCGTCACCAATGCGAGGACCGTCATCATCGTCGGCGTGATCAGCATCGGCCTCAAAGTCGTCGTTGTCATCATCAGCACCAGCATCGCTACGATCATCCTCGTGTCTACTGTTGTCGACGTTGTCGTGATACCGCGCCCGGCCAGGTCGCCGACTCGCACTGAAGTGCCCGCTGGGAGGTGCCCAGCGGTCAACGCCACCGCGGCCGCGTCTGTCGCGCACGTGCATGCGCGGGCTAGCGCGGCCGCAGAGATGCACCAGCCAACGCCAAGCAGTCATCGCAATCGCCGCCGCAGGGGGTTATGAAAACCTAGTTGCGGGTGGGTGGGTGGGATGATTGCGCGAGCAGTGGAACTGACAACTTACTGCGAACAGACATTTGTTGCACCAGATAGGTTGCCCAACATATATCGAGCAACATTCATGGCACCGAATCGGTTGCACCACATCGGATGCCCGCCGATGTTGAACAACATAAGTCTGCACCACATAAATTCTCCTTTCTCAAAACAGAATAGACTCTCCCCCCCCCGGCGTTATCACATCACTTTTCGGGTACGGAAATCATGTATGATTATGACCACAGGTCCATCTTAGATATGAAATCACAATGTCCCAGGCCAACCGGTATCCCCCCCTGAGGTTCCCTTCTGAAAAACACTATGCGGTGACATTTATTGTTCTAACATCGCACTTGTCACGAATCCCACTACAAAAAACGGGACGAAGCGCGCACGCGCGCGTTGTCGCGCGCACATGCCGAAATCCTTCAAAAACCTTCGGTGCCTGAAGGATTTCGCAATCGAGTTCCCAAAACACATACAAAAACACAGGGTTTCGCAACACTGATTTGCTAAAAAGCTTCCGCGCGAGCTCTTGCGAAATCTTAAGAAAACCATGCGTTTTTTTCAAGATTTTCACAAAATGCTATTGAACGGGCTTCTCGCGCGCGAATGTCGAAATCTGTCGAACGCCCTTGCGCGTGTGCTGTCGCGAGAATCCTCCGCAACAAAAATGAGACGAAGTGCAGACACGCGCGTCGTCGCGCGCGTACGCCGAAAACCTTCAAAACTCATCGGTTTCCGAAGGACTTCAAAATCGTGCGTCCAAAAAAACCTACAAAAGCACAAGGCTTCGCAACACGGATGTTCAACAAAAGCGTGCGCGCGTGCGCTCTTGCGTCGTCGTTGTCGCCGTCGTCGCCGTCCTCCCTCCTCCCGCGTCGTCGTCGTCGTCGCCTACGTCGTCCTCTGGCTTTCCTCGTGTTCGTCGTCATCGTCCTCTTTGGCGTCGTGGTCGGTTCCGTCGTCGTTGTCGCCGTGGTCGTCCTTCCTCCTCCTCCCTCGTCGTCGTCGTCGTCCTCGTCGGCGTCTCGTCGTCGTCCCTCCTATTTCGTCGCCGTCGTCGTCGTCGTCGTTGTCGTCGTCTTCTTCCCTCCTCCCTCGTCGTTGTCGTCGTCGGCGTCGCCGTCCTTCCTCCTTCTTCGTCGTTCGCGTCGTCGCCGTCCTCCCTCCTCCCTCGCCGTTGTCGTCGTTGTCGTCGTTGTCGCCGTCGTCGTCCTTCCTCCTCCCTCGTCGTCGTCTTCGTTGGCGTCGTCGTCGTCGTCTTCGTCGTCGTCGGCGTCGGCGTCGTTGTCGTCGTCGAAGTCGTCGGAGACGTCGTCGGTGTCGTCGTAGTCGTTGTCGTCGGTGTCGTCGTAGTCGGTCTTAAGAGGTTTTGCAAACCAAGTTGCGAATGGGTGGGTGGGATGCTTACAAGAGCGTGGGCTGTGTCAAATAATGTGTAAAAATCAACTGCACCGCGTAGATTGCACCACATGTATCGCACGACTTCCGTCGCACAGCATCGACGGCACCATCTATACTCTATATTGCTAGACACACACACACACGCAGTTGGTGTCCGCGCTGGGTCACATATTACTATTCAGTAGTTGCAACGGGAGGGGATTGCCAATCCTCCTCCTCGAGGCCCCTTCCTTGCCCTGCCCTGCCCCCCCCCTCCCTCGCCGCTTGGGCAATCTGGGCAAGGAAAAAAAAAAGAGAGGAGACACAGGCCGCCTGCTGCTCCCATTTGCCGCACGCGCGGTCCACGGTGGAGGTGGACCACGGCCGCTCTCCCAGCTCCTGCGGGCGAGGAGGAGGAGGAGGAGGAGGAGGAGAAGGAGGAGGAGGGGGGGTGGGGGGTGGGAAAGGAGGGGAGGGGGAGGAGGAGGAGGAGGAGGAGGAGGAGGAGGAGGAGGAGGAGGAGGAGGAAGCCTTGGCAGTTCGGTTACCTCTGTCTCGGTGCAGGGCAGAGGCTGCTCGCCTGAAACTCGAGCTTGGGTCTGCTGGCTGAGTCATTTGGCGTGGCAGAGGGATGCCTGCGGGACCCAAGGGCTTATAAGGCCTCGCGGGCCCGCTTCGACACTGGACCGAAAATCCCTCCAACGCGTAAGGCACAGAACGGGTGGGAGGTTATCGCACACTGGCGCATCCCCCCCACTCTCGGGCGAGGTCAAATCGATTCTGCAAATCTCATAGACTTCTATACGTATAGCCGCTGCAAGAGTGGCGCACTCTCCCCCCGCTCACTACATCCTCCACCCAGTCATCTCCGCTTGCCTGATGGCCTAACGCCAGTTAGGCGTTGAAGTAATTCTGCTGCTCTCACACTGCCTGCTGCTGCCTGGCGCCTCAATCCTCGAATGTCTACGCCATGCCCTGCCTCTGGCGCACGTACTTCTGCACTTGCCGCTCGAGCGCTGTCGGTGGCGGAGCTCCCACGATCGCGACGCCCCCTGTTGCCTGCATCGCTGCGTATATCATGGCCCTGATCTGAGGGATGCTGAGCGGTTCCAGCTTGATCGGGCTCTCGGTGTTCCCGGCTCGGATCTTGTTGATCTCGTCTTCCGTGTGGCTGTTGAACGGGCTGAGGCCGAGCGGTTTGAGCATGATGTGTACCTTCCACCGCTCCTGCTGTCCATTTTCCTGATAGGGGAGGAGGAGGAGGAGGAGGAGGAGGAGGAGGAGGAGGAGGAGGAGGAGAGCCGGCAGGCCTGCCGTGGACCGAACACAGCGCAGCCGGATCGGCTCGGAAGCGGATCGGACCGCCAGCGCATCGCCCCGCAGCGGGCGGGATCGAAGCCGGACCGCCGCGCCGGGCTCCGGCTGGCCCCGGCCGGTGCCGGCGACCCGGAGGGGCGCGCCGCGGGCGAGAGGCGCGGGGGCCCGTGGAGCACCAGGGCGCCCTGTTTTCGTTGGAGGAGGGTGAAGGGGAAGGGCGGGGTCCTCCCGCTCATCCTCGTCCTCCTCGTCCTCCTCGTCCTCGTCCTCGTCCTCCTCCTCCTCCTCCTCCTCCTCCTTGTCCTCCTCCTCCTCCGAATCGGAGTCGCGGCCCCAGGCGGCGAATCGAGGCGCAGCGAAGCGGCGAACGGGTGTGCGCCTCCCTCGCTGGGGGCATCGACGACACCTCGGTGGGCCCCGCCGCCCGAGAGGAGGAGGAGGAGGAGGCCGACGACAACCGTGAGGGAGCCCTGTGGCACACAAGTTAATAGGCACAGATGACAAGATTCCCCAAATCTTTTCCAATAGTTTCGGGGTCTGTGTCTTCCCCTCCACTTCCCATATTTTCTGGGGAATCGACGATTTAATTGTGCCTGTATGTTTTTTCCCTCCTGAAATCAGGAGGAGGAGGAGGAGGAGGAGGAGGAGGAGGAGGTGGAGGTCGCAGCTCGCGGCTCGAATTCGCGCGGCCTGGCGCGGCTTGGTGCGCTGCCGCAGAGACAGGGCAGAGGGACTGGGCCGCGACTGGGGACCCCGATCCGGTGCCGTGACAGACGTCGCGGTGACCTCGGAATGCCCCAGAACCTCACCGCAGGGTCCGTCACAGCACGGCTGTGGGATAGGTTGGGCATGTCCTCCTAGAGGTGGACTTTGGAAGAATATGGAAAAGCTCAGGAAGCATTCAAACACAATCAACAAATTATAAAAAAAAAGAAAAAAAACAATCGTCCTCCTACTATGTTTTACTGCTCCTCCTGTAGAGGGACATGCCCGACTTAACTGTAGGACCTCGGCGAACGGCCCAAGTCCCCCACTGCCGTGCGGCCACCCAAAAGCCCCAGCGACTCACCGCACGGTGTGTTCACCGCGCAGTGCGGGGCCCCCCGACGCAAGTCAAGATCAGAACACCGGCATGCACACAACCTCTCGGACGCCCGCGCGGACTTCTGGGATCGGCGCTGCACCCCCTCCCTGGCGCACGGAGCGCAGCAGGGGCGGCGCCAGAGGCGCCGCCAGGACCGTCGCACGCCTCTGCTGCTGGGGACGTGTCCTCTTCGTGCACGGCAGGCTCGTGCCGTGCCGATTTCGGCGCTGGTTTCTGGGGAGTAGGAGGAGGAGGAGGAGGAGGAGGAGGAGGAGGAGGAGGAGGAGGAGGAGGAGGAGGAGGAGCGGCGGGGGCCGCTCCACCTCGAACGACCCGCCAAGTCCGAGACGTCAGCTCGTGCGGCATCGACCGATTCCGGGTCGCGGGCGGCGTTCCGCGCTGAATGCCTAGCGGCGCGGTTGCCGCCCGCCAGCACGAAGCGAGCCTACCGTGAGAGGGGGGGGTCCAGGCTGCAGGGAGATTTTGAGCCCCCCTGGGCCAAACGGCTCCCGAGGGGTCCCATTCAAACTTTTGAAGGGGCCCTAGGACACACACATAAATACACACAAATAAAAAGATTCGCCATAGTTTCCCATAGTGTCTGGGTTGTTGTCTTCCCGCCCACTTCCCATATTTTCCCATATTTTCTAAGGAATCGACAATCAATTGTGTCTGTGTGTTTTTGTTCCCCCCTGAACTTTTTTCTGTGACGTCGGCGGCGAGGCAGGGGCAACCTGCACCAGCGGCAAGCGACTCGGGGCAGCCGGGGGGCGAGCTGGCCAGCAGGCAGGGGGAGAGGAGGAGGCAGACGGAGCGGCCGCAGAGGAAGGGGAGGGGGGCAGGGGGCACTCAGAGGTCCCATGCAAGCCTGACGAGACTGCGGAGGCGGCCTCTGCGCAGAGGCGGCCGACCTCGGGGCCAGCGGCCCTTCTCGTCGGGAAGCGCAATCGGCTTCGCGCCAGGCTGCTCGCGCTGGGGAGCCCAGGGAGCCTTGAGGGGTCGTGAGGGATGAGGAGTCCTGAGGATAGAAGAAGAAAAGACGCCATAAGCATAAACTTTTGGTGCTCCGAGCGGATTTCTTGGATCCGCGCTGGACCCCCCTGCCTGGCGCGCGGAGCGCACCAAGGGCGGCGCTGGAAGCGCCGCTGAGGGGGGCCCTGCGCGGATTCAAGAAGTCCGCGCGGAGCGTAGCGCCAAAAGTTTGTTTATGGCGGTTTTCCCTCTCAGAAGGAGGAGGGGGCGCTGGATGATGAGGAGGAGGAGGAGGAGGAGGAGGAGGAGGAGGAGGAAGAGAACGGAGAGGAGGCGGAGGAGGAGGAAGGAGGAGGAGGAGGAGGAGGAGGAGGAGGAGGAGGGAGGCGCTGAATGATGAGGAGGAGGGAGAACCTGGACCACCTCCCTTGGAAGTGGTCCAGGTTCTATTCTAAGGGATCCCAGGGAGTCTTGCTTAGGGTCCTGCGTGACAGGGGCGGTCCATGACCACGTACGGTGGCCCCCCCGCGGGCAGCGAGGTTCGTCGGAGGGGTGTCGGGGCACAACTTCGGCATCGGGCGGCCCTGGCTGTCAAGATGTTCCCGGACAGCTCGCAGAGAGCTAAAGGGGTTTCAGATTGAGCAGCCGGAGCCGCAGGGTAGCCCCGGAGATCGTTCCGGCGGCGGGCAGGGAGCCTCGGCGTAGGCTGCTTGAGCTCGCAGCGGGTCCCGAAGGTCCTTTTCTAAGCGTTTCCCAATGCGCGTGCCCGGAAGCTCTCCAGAAGGACCTTCGGAAGCTCTCTCCAGGTCCTTCCAGAGTGCTTCGCCAGGCCTTTCCACGCCCTTCGGGCGCCCTGGTATCCCGGTTTTGGACTACACAAGTGCCGATCGCGGAGGCGCAGAAGCAGCCTCGGTCGACGAGTCGATTGTCGGGATGTCGACAATCCACCCTCACTCCTGGTCGACAGTGGGCACAGTGTCCCGCCTCCCTCACCCTCGTCCTCCTCCCTCGCTCACATCGGCAGGGGCGGGTGGGCCCCTGTTTCCCGATAGTTTCTTCCCGAACGGATGCTGATTGCTACTAGTATTTCCCTCCCGCGGAGGGTGGAACGTCCTGGAACAAACAAACAAAATCGGATGTCGACGTCGACCGACGAGGGTGCCCGGGAGATCTGGACGCAGAATCCAGGGGGGGGCGGGAGGGGGGGGTCGCGTGCAGGGGCAAGCGAAAAGATTACGAGGATGAGACGTGCAAGGGAAAGATTTGTCCACCCAAGAATGCTCGCGGTGTAAAACAAAAGAAAAACAAGACGGGCAATTTTGGCCAGGCCCAGGGACCGTAAGAAAACGGCTCTGGGCGAGAAAACAGCGGAAAGGGTCGAGACTTTGGGGTGGGGGGCGCATTGAGGAAGACAAAACGTCACACGCATGCCTGGAGGATGGGGGCGGCAGGTCTGTCCACGCAGCTCGGAGCCAGGCCGGCCTCGAGGGTGTCTCAGAACAGGGAGCCGACTGCCGAGACGCCCTGATGCCCGGAGCTCTCGGCCCTGGCTGCAGTTGATGACGGCAGGGTGCCTCGGCCCGCGACGCCCTTGGCCGAGAAAAGTTCGTCGGGGACGAAGGAACCACGCAGGCATTCGCAGGACATCGCCAGAGGCCACAGATCGCCCAAAGGCCAATCGCCAGAGGCGTGTCTGCCAGAACGGCGAGCCTCGGCCGCGAATGGGCCCCTGATCTACACCTCAGGAGCGGCCCGACAAGTGGAGCCCGTCCCGAGCCCGACATAACTTGCACTTCAGCGCCTTGACCCTACCAGCGAACGCAGATGTAGCAACATCGCTTCCCATCCCTTCTACCCCTTCTACTCCTCCTCCTCCTCCTCCTCCTCATCATCCTCCTCCTCCTCCTCCTCTTCCTCCTCCTCCTGCTCCTCCTCCTCCTCTTCCTCCTCCTCCTTCTAC